TGAGGGAGCTGGGATTGTTTAGTCTGGAGAAGAGGAGGCTCAGGGGAGACCTCATTGCACTGTACAACCTCCTGAAGGGAGGCTGTGGTGAAGAGGGATTTGGCCTCTTCTCCCAGGCAACGAGCAGGACCCGAGGCAATGGCCGCAAGTTGTATCAGAGGAGGTTCAGGTTGGACATAAGGAAGAACTTCTTCTCTCAGAGAGTCATCAGGCACTGGAATGGCTGCCCAGGGAGGTGGTGGAGTCACCGTCCCTGGCAGTGTTCAAGACGCGTCTGGATGACGTGCTGCGTGACATGGTTTAGTGCTAGTGGTGGCAATGGTGATGAGGAGACGGTTGGACTGGATGATCTTATAGGTCGTTTCCAACCTTGTGATTCTTGTGATTCTTGTGATTCTTGTGATTCTTGTGATCTGAATTTTGTTTTTAATTTTATCACAGTTGTTTCCTCTGCCTCTGACTTAATGTTGGAAATCACATAAGTGAATTATTAAATACCAGCAAACTCAGGTTTGGTAAGTTATAAATAAACTTCTTAGTTTTACCCTATTCTTTTGTGAGGTAAAAGTTGTTGAAGAAAGACACTCCATAGGGACTTCAATGCACATAATACCTCTCTGTCCCAGTACTAGTTCATAACTTACCTGAACATTTGACCTGTTTTGAGGATTTGTACTTCTTTTAAGGGGAGCTTTGCCAGACCTGACTGAAAGTCACAGTATTCCTCCATGACAATGAAAGCACTTTACGTATTTTCAGGATCCTTTCCACTCATACTCTAGTGTTCAGTTTTTTCCTGGATTACTTATTCATAGGACTTGGAAACTGTAAGAATTTTTTAAAGGAGGAGGGATGTGAGGAAGATTTATATGATGGTGATGTTGCAGGTTTAGAACACTCACCATGTAGTAGGATGATGGCAGTGGTGTTGCTTTGCTGAGTTCCAACAGGCTGTTGGGTGATTTTTGAAAAGCTTGTTGTGCTTGTTGTGCTCCTCTGTGCCCGTAAGCAGAGATCATAGAATCACAGAATGGTTTAGGTTGGAAGGGATCTCAAAGGGTACCCAGTTCCAATCCCACTGCTATGGCCAGAGCTGTCACCCGCCAGACCAGGGCCCAGGGTCCCATGCAGCCTGGCCAGAAGAGACAGGCCAAAGCAAGTGTACGTCTTTTGGTAAATGTAAAAGGAGAACTGGCTTAAATGGATGAGGAGAAGGCTGAGGTACTGAATGAATTCTTTGCCTTGGTCTTCACTGGCAGCCAGTATTCTAATATTTCTCACGTCCCTGAGCCCTGCATCCCTAAACCTCTGGTGGGGGCCAGGGGAGTAAATCCCTCCCCATTGTGAGGGCAGAGCAGATGCGAGACCTCCTCATGAGACTGAATGTGTACAAGTCTATGGGGCCAGATGGCATCATCCCAGGGTTCTGAAGGAGTTGGCTGAGGTCTCTGAGGTCTGATTTCTAGACACTTCTGAGGCACTGCTAATTTTTGCTAGCTGGAATTTCTTCATCCTTTGGAAAGAAGAGCACTTACCTGTAAAATGACCATGTGTATATACCATATCAGTAATGTCTGAGACCTGTGTTCTTTCTCTTTTCTTGAGTATGGCAGGAGGACTGATACTGATTTTTAACCTTGAGAGGAGACAGGAAGCCTGCACAACCTGAGGATGAGGAGAATGTACTTCCTGCATCAAAGTATTAGCCAAAAAGCCTACCTTGGAAGAGACTGAAGATTTAAGTTTGCTTAGTATTGCTAAGAATGTAAACAAGTATATGCTGGAATACATTTGGAATAAGGGAGAAAGTATTGTCCCTGTTACCACAGATGGACACATATAGGTTTGGAAATATCCTGAGTATATATATATATATATGTATGTATATATTTGCATCATGAGGTAGTTTATAAGAAGGAATGCCAAGAGCAAATTTGGAGTTGTAAATTTCTTCATTCATCTATATTTGGTGCTGTTTGTGCTTAAGGAAACCTGTGAATTCTACTTCAGTTTCTGTCTACTCGTTAAGGCAAAACTCCTTATAAAGATCACAAGGCTTGATTCAGCATTGCCTTATGCAGTCTGTGAAAGCAGTGAAGAGATGAAAGGTGTTTATGACTCAGAATGATTTTGCCTATGCATTTGCTCTTGTATAAGTGACTGTAGAACACAGAGATCAAAGAAGAGGTGTGCCTCAAGATTGCTCCACATGTGTTAATTGAAGAACTAAGGATATAGCGTAATGTGTTTGGGATGCAGTGTGTAGACGTTCTCTCTCAATTTTTTTCTCATTCTCAGTAACATATCAGTGTACTGCTGCAACTGTTACAAGTGAATATCACAACTTAGCTGCTGTATCAAGGAAGGATGGAAACCGAGAGAGAATTTTTTAATATTTAAAATTATGTATATTTTTTTTCTGAGCCAGCACTAAGCCAGTAATTAGGAGAAGTAACAAAGGTAATTCCAATTTCAGCTTCAGTCGTTTACCTTTTTCCTCTGTAACTGCAGGGATAGTATTGTTCCAGTAAATTTGCCTGTTAAAACTGGGAGCAGGGGCTCAGCCAGACCCAGTTTTTCATTTTAAAATGTGGGTAATCACTGAAATGACTATCCAGCTAAGTAGTTATATCTCTCAATTAATAAGGCAGTAATTTAAAACTGATTTCTCGTGTGATCCATCCGTAGGTGGTTCTGCCTTAGGTTTCTGCAATTTCACATCAGTTAATGAAATACTAAAACAGTTGTAAAATGATATGACTTATTTGCTGCGTGAAACTTCAATTTCTTCTTTGGAAACAATGGGGAAAATGATTACAGAGAACTTCAGTCTTCAGAATATATGTTTAAGCAGTAGTAAGTGGCTTAATTTTAAGAAATACTGGGTGGCTTCATTAGTCACATTCTCGTATGCAAGTTTCTTGTGGCTACATACTGCTAGCTGCAGAACTAAATTTTCAGAAATCAGTCCAATATTTTTAAATTTAAGCTCTACAGTTGGCTGTCTGTATCCACAGGGAGCTTGTGTATGTAAACACAAGAAAAAACTTAAATTCTGAGGACAATTTCAAATTAAATGATAACTGAATTGGGAAGGAATGTTACACTCTACAGTAACCTGTTCATAATCTCGGCATTATAGGGAGTGCTTACCTATGGACTAACTGTAATAGAATGAGAAGTACACTAGCCATTAGGAGCTTTCTAACCACACTTCTTGCAGTGATTCCTGTGGATAAAACAGAGAAGAAGCACCTCAGGAAAAACAATGACAACAACAACAAAAACCTTAGCTGGATGAACAATTCTGCACATTCATAAGAAGTTACTTTTTTTCCTCCTGGATCTCAGCCTGATTTACAGATACTAGGCCAAAGTAAAAGTATCTCAGACTTGTATCCAGTCTCTGGAACAGAAAGATGCAAAGGAGTCAGGGCAGAGCAAAAGAAGACTAAAAGACCTGTGGAAATTTGGAATTTGAATTCTTAATTTTTGTTTAAAAGCGGCATTCAGAACCATTGTTGCATATGTGCAGCTTGTTCAGATGTAAATTATTCCTTGAGTAGTGAATGACTGTGAGGACTTTTTGTATGTATATATTTTGGAGAAGTATTCAGATGCTTGTTGTTACGGCTGGCCTTACTTGTGGAGTAAAATTTGGTGTTACAGTGTAGGTAACAGTGACTATACTGTAATTTTAAGACCACGTAAGTGTCAGGAAACTGAATTGTCATTAAGCTACGATAATAATATTTTTAATATCATTTTGTTCCATTGCTTGTGATTCAGACATTGTCTTTTCTCTGCAATAAACCTATGTATTGTGGTATTCTGACTGAAGGTGTTAGTAATTTGAAACTCAACATACATTTCTGCTCTTCTGTTGCGGACTTCTGGCTGTCAGAGATTCAGATTAAATTTTAAAGATAGTTCATGTTAAATGTGGAAGAATATCATTGAGGTATGGATGCAACTTCTTGTTTTATCATCATTTGTGCACCAGTCTTTCTCTTTTCCATTTTAAATTGGTCTTTAGAGAATGAATGTTTCAAACATTTCATTTGCAAAGAAGAATAAGTGCTGTTTCTGTGCTTTCTCTGAGAATTTCCATGTGTTAACGTTAAGAAAAAAAAAAAAACACCTCTAAAATGTGACTTTTATTAATTTTATTTTAATATCAAATTTCTGTTTTTAGTTTTAGTATTATTATTTTTAATTTGCAGTAAGGCTCTGTTCTTAACACTGCTGTTTAGCCTTATGATTTTTATCTATGTCCTCAACTTTAATGCTGATTCAAACATATTTTGTTCAGAAAACTGTATATTCTATTTCCTTGTTAATAAACTACCATACCAGTTGTGCCATAATTTCCCTATCTGTAAAATGTATAATAAACTATTTGCAGAAAACTCTTTAAAAAGTTATGTGGTATTTTTTTCACTGCGTAGGAAGAACTAGGTGTCTTTATTAACCTTTTATTATTTAGTCTTCAAATTTGGAGATAAATCTATTTTTTTTTGGCCCAAGCACAAATTCAGTGTGCTATGGAAGCCTCTGTACTACAGCTTAACTCTTCATAGCTGTACAAAGAGGTGTTGTTGTGTGTTATCCCAAGGTCAGGGGTATTCTTATCCAGGGTTTTGGATTAGACCTATCAGTTTCTGCAAAACTTAAACAAAATAGAATTATTTTTCTTCTTTTTGTTCTTGGGTAATTTCCAGGAAAGCAATGAAACCTTCCTACTGAAATGAGCGCCAGAAGTCATTGTTTCTTTCTTTTTTTCTTTCTTTCTTTCCTTCTTTCTTTCTTTTTTTTTTCCCCTCCCTTGTGGTCATTTACAAATCTGAATGTAAAACAGAGACATTATTCTTGCCTGAACTCTGGACATTATTCGGAGAAAACAGATCACATGCTGAGATTAAACCTGTTGTTGCTCGGCCAGTGCGCATTTCCCATAGAGAGTGTTACTGTTGCATGGTAGCTTGCTGATTTCGCTCGCCATGGAAGACTTGCAGCATCAGCTGCTCATTGTTACAGGGGCTCTGATCTGTTTCTCTGCTCTGCTTAAATGCATCAGATTTATGAACTATATTTTCCCACATGTTTGGAGTGCTTTGCCTCAGGCTTTCTTTCGGTCGCTGGGAGAATGGGCAGGTAATGGAAATTTCCTTACATTTTTCTTTTTGTAATAGAGAGATGAATCTCTCTAGTAGTTATGTTACTAATTGGGATATTTTCCTTGTGTTCTCTTACCCCACTCCTTCAGAGGACAATTTCTACTAAGTGTGTGCTTTGTTTCATTTCTTCTTTCTACCTGCTAGTAAATTCAGTTTTATGAACTTCAAGTTTTTGCCTACTTGGAGAGAAGAGAAAAATAAACTAGTAGCAATGTGCACACGCAGTGTGTGGATGGGGATTATCTCCCTGTTCTTACTTCCAGTGTTTTTTCTCTATTGGAAATGCTTTAGTTTTAATAACATTGCCTATCCTCAGTTTCTGATAAGTGAAATAACTAGTTTATGCATAGCGCATGGTCTCCAGCCTTCCAAGCAAATTGTCTTTGTTCCTGGTGACTTTGCTCCAGCCTTTGTTTCAGACTGGTGATCTATCCTTAATGCTATTATTAACAAGCCAAATCTATTCTTGCCTAAAAACTTTGAAGGCTACAACTCAGCAGTGCTTTTTTAAAGATATTACATATTCTCATAAAAATAACAGAAATATTTAATGAAAGAATTCTTCCTATTAAATGTTTTTCTTAGGGTTGGTAGATCGTCAATATGAAGTAAGAATGAAAAGGCAGTTTTAGAGATACGAGGCTACAGATTTCACCACTGGTGGCATCTTGTTAAGAAGTGACCCGAAATGTACTCTCATGCTAGAGAGTTGGATTGTGTATGTGTTTAATGTGCACATCTCACTGTGGATGAGTAAGAAACAAAACTCAGCTGTTTGTGAAGGACTTGGCTAAGCATCAAGTGCTTCTGAAATAACACGTAAGCCACATTTTGGTGTGTGGGCCTGGCTGGTATGTGGATAGTCAGAAGCACAGCATGGAGATCTATGAAACCTTGTCCTCCTGGAGGCCCAGAGACTGCCCTTTCCTTCAGTGGACCCGTTGTGTTCTGTCATTTCAAATACATTAAATTTCCTCAGGCTGGTTGTATTCATTGGGCTTGAGTGGCTTGCAGCATCATACGGAATGTGAGATCCCAAGCCCTGCAAGGATGCAAGCTGGCAGGTGGAAGCTTGCTTTTCATCTGCAGGTCTGCTGTGGTCATAAAGATCACTAACTTCCTCACCAGGAGTTTTCTGTTCCCTGTGAACCTAGCTGCTCAAACTCACTCTGCTTCTCTGGTTTCTCTGTCAATTTAGAAGTCCTTAATTTACTTTGTTTTTAGACACTGACTCATGTTCAGTTTTGCTCTAAAAATGTGTCAGATGTACCTCAGAACTGTTTTAGGACGTTTCTCCTTTGCTTATTTATCCTTTATTTCTAAGATGATAAGTATTTTCCTTCTATAGCCCTTATTCGTTACTTGCTTTCATGATATTTAAGGTCCAGGGTGCCTTGTAAATGCCAAGGCTTGTTTACTTCCCCAGTGACACTAAATCCAAAGGTAAATCTTGAGATAGAAAGCACTGTATAGGTGACGTTAAGTTAGTTTTTCCTTACAGAGAAACTTGCTGTGTCAGGAAATGTATCAGCCTCTGTCACTCCTTACCTACTGCCATTCTGCAATGAACATGCAAGTACAAAGCAGAACTTTTGAAAGAATATATGCATATTAAAAAAATTCTGCCATCTCATAGGATTTGTTGCTGTCTCCCCATTCAAAGTGAAAGTATTGACTAAGATGCTACTTTAGGTGGGTTACAGTGGGGAGAGGTTTGCTTGGAAGACTAATAGTGCTTAGCAATAAATGTCAAGTCACAATACAAAGAAAGGCTTGATTCAGTGGTTTATTAGAAACGTTTTGACAGTAACGTCCAAGAAATGGACAAAATTAAGTTTAACAAATTCAATAAAGAGCTAAAGAAAATCTACAATCACCATGATCCTTACTATTATTTTCTTTCTTCAGTGGTCACAGGAGCAGGAGATGGGCTTGGAAAAGCATATTCCTTTGAGGTAAGAAAAATAATACTCCCTTAATTTTACTTCAACGAAATGAAAATTGCTATCTATTACCAGTCTTTGCATGTTAGTAAGAAGAGTCTGGAATTCAAAGCCACTGTGACAAATATAGTACCAATCCTTTCCCTCCCTATTTGCAGAATAACATGAGCTGAGTTCTGTGAGGACATTAGTATTGCATTTAAGAGGAATGTCATTCATGTTGCAGTGGTCCTGTCCGTCCAAGGAAATGAAATGGAAACACCGTGTAATTGAGATTTTGTATTGTCTGTCCAGAGTAGCATGTCTTCCAGCCTATCCTTTTTTTTTTCCCCCCGGTTTTGCAGCTAATGTGTTTTTTCTCTTTTGATGAGGTAGTCCAGTATTAAACACACAAAATGCACTTTGCTATCCTTCACAGCTGCAAAAGAAAGTTTGAGAGATATATTTGAAACAACAGAGAAAGAAGAAATATACATAAATGAGTATGAGCTACAAGCTAAGGAACTGACAAGAATCCCTGATAGTCTGGTTAGTAATCCGTCACTGCAGGAGTCTGCAGGAGGAGGGAGCTGCAGTTTGCCATGCATTGCTGTGAAGATGCTACAACATCCCCTCTGCTCAACATTGCTGAAGGCAGAGAGGCCTCTGAGACTGTCCTTGCTATGTGTGATAGTGACAGTGGCAGATTTTCTCTCTGATCATAACCAGCTCTCTGTCTGAACTGAATTGCTTAGCTGCAATGAAATGTAAGTTATTGTCTTCAGAACAGAGACAACCAGATGAAAATTAACAGGTGGTAATATGGGAGGATCTGGATTAGATGTGATGCATTCTGAAGTGATAAGTCATATATGATGTGAAAAAATGTACATAAAACTTGTCTCTCAGGAAAGGAAAATGAGTTTCCTTTTGATTTAATTGATTAGATTATTAAACCAGTTCTCCTAAGCATATGCTTCATTTACTCATACTTGAAGCACCTGATTTTGATTACTGGGAGTGGCAATACAATAAGTACTTTCTGAACTGCATTGGAATTAGAAAACATAGATACCAAGTATTGCAGCATTTATTGTAGTTGTGATAAAGATTATAAACTCTCCTGTGTGAAAGAAGGAAAAACGTTGCTTTCCGCCTACTAAGTTGCTGTAACAATAAAAAAATGGAAAGAGTCTGATGAATATGTAAGTCAGGGAAGAATGGGTTGGGGTTAAAACACAGATAAGAACTGTCAGAAATGCTTTATCATGCCCTTAGAACTGCATCTCCAGGTGTAGTCACACGTAGAAGCAGCGTGCTGAAGTAACTGTGTGAGAGATCCTGGTGATACTTTAACTATGAGGTCTGCAAGAATCTGAGAGTGGATCTGAGGTCAGAATTTCTGTCTTTGTTCTGCTTCCTTTGTTCCGCATAGGTTATAGAACTGTAAATCCCAGCTAAAAGGCCAGCTGTGACATATGAATGGCCACTTAAGTCATCAGAAATAATAAAATAACTATTGTCTTTTGTTCCTTTCTTGAGAAAACAGTTTTTGTCAGGAGCTGGCAAGTTTTTGTGGAATGTTTCTTCATTATTTTTGGCTTTCTTGTGTTGACTGAGAGGCATCTTTACCCTTGCTGAGATTTATCTTCCCCAGATCTTCCCAATCATAGAGGTTGTGCTCAGCTAATGCATGGCACTATTTGAGCTCATAGCTTGGTACATCATCTTGCTGGCTGAGGTCAAAGCACATGATTGTGTGAGGCTTGTAAATAAGTGGACCAGCTTTGTTGCTGCTCTGATGTTGGGTACAAAATTCTCTGATGTCAATCTGACATAGGTTTTGCTGATACTGTGGGCTGATGTGAACGCAAATCTAGCCTGCAGGCCACAGGGTCGCTACATCTCTGTCCCTGGAGCTTGAGCTCTAAGACCAAGCAAAGGCTGTCCTTCAAACATGGACTTGTAACAAGCCACAACATAATGCAAGAGCTCCACACTCCTGTGATACCAGAAACTGACACTAGTCCTGGTGATTTGGAAGGATGGTGGCTGTTTCTGCTCAGTGTTTTATATGGAAACCCAAACCAGTGGCTCACAAATACAGCCCAGGAGACAGAAGTCCAGGTAATGATTACATTCCTTACTGGGGGAAAACCCCTTTTTCCAAGATTTGTAGTTAGGTAAACACTTCTGCACACTGGCTGGCTTGGTCTGTGTAAAAAGCTTGAAGTCTCAGAAGACTGATGGTTGATACAGGACACACATTCTATTGTCCTTTTAGGTTCATAGAATCACAGAATGCCTTGAGTTGAAAGGGACCTTAAAGATCATCCAGTTCCAACCTCTGCCACAGGCTAGTTGCCAGTGAGTAGGTGAGGTCGCCCAGGATCCCATCCAGACTAGTCTTGAATGCTTTCAGGGATGGGGCATCCACAGCTTCTCTGGGCAGCCAATGACAGCACCTCACCACTCTCTGAGTAAAGAATTTCTTCCTAATATCTAACCTAAATCTCCCCTCTACGCTGCCCGAGGACAGGGCGGTCCTCGCGCCACAGGTAGGGCAGCGCGCCACGGGCTGCTCTCAACGCCGCCTCTGTGCGGAGTGAGGCAGCGTTAAAAGCCGCGTAGCCTCTGCCAGTGATGGCCAGGAAATTCCTTTCTTAAATGCCTTCATTTTTGTTTGCCTTGAGGGTGCACTTGAATCTTGTAGTTTAAGTGTCCTGTGAAACTTTTTTCTGAAAAGAATGCACGAGTTATATATGAGGAAATATGTAAAAATAAAAATAAAAATAAAAATAAAAATAAAAATAAAAATAAAAATAAAAATAAAAATAAAAATAAAAATAAAAATAAAAGGAAGAGAAAAAGGAAAAGAAGAAAAAAGAAAAAGAAAAAGAAAAAGAAAAAGAAAAAGAAAAAAAGAAAAAGAAAAAGAAAAAGAAAAAGAAAAAGAAAAAGAAAAAGAAAAAGAAAAAGAAAAAGAAAAAGAAAAAGAAAAAGAAAAAGAAAAAGAAAAAGAAAAAGAAAAAGAAAAAGAAAGAGAAAAAGAAGAAAAAGGCCTTGAGAAATTCTGCTGCAGCTTTATACTTCTAATGAATCTGGCATATAGCAGCAAAGGAGCATCCTCTCATCTGTTCACCTGGCAGTCAGCATTTTTGCCATTCTAGCTAAAATAGGATCATAGCAATAGGGATCATTTTTTACCAGACACAGAGACGTATATGAAGTGTTATTGAGAAGCACTACAAAATAAAATTTTGATTTTACTTTGTAGGTGACATGGATGATATTTAATCTTGTTTGAATGCTCAAAAAAGCAGAATGACCTCTGTGTAATCATCTCTGAGTGACGGGTACGAATAAGGGACCAGAGCAAGAGAGACTATCTGCATTGCTTTCCAAGTTGGAAACAGCTTGAGTTAAGCACATTTTAGACAAAGGGAAATTTGCCAGTGTGCAGACAATTTACTTTCTCTTCCTGAGTACCTCATACATAGCCCATAAAATAAGCTTTCAAAACCACGGAGTGCCCAGGCCTGGACATGTCTCTGTGGCTAATTATGTGAGATGTTCGCTGAGAGCATGGGACTGTGAGCAAGGTCTTTGTGCTGAAAGTGCAAATGGCTGTGTCTTATATATTTAATAGATAGTCTGCTCCTTGTACTCTCAGTGTAGTGAGTTTTCAAACAAAGGTCCTTGTTCCTTGACATTCTTTCCATTGTTTCAGAAGAGCTCAGTAGGACAATCTGCTTCCCTCCAGTAGGTTTAAGGAGAGTGCATTGCAGGGAGTCAGTGGCAGAAATGAATGGGTCTTCACTGTGTGGCCTTCACCAGTTCACTCCTTGTTCCAAGATAACGTGGTACTTTCAGAAGTTGGCCTTTATCTTTTGTACTGACTTTTTCTTGCTTCTTGCTCTCACAGGCATTTTCTGGTTTCAACTCTTATCTTTCTTTGTGCACATAACTCTGTCCCACTGCTACTTAATAACTTCATTTCACAAGCTTTGCGTGTGTTTTTTTTTTTTTCAGATTCTGCCTAAAACTCCTTTGCTGGTGGGAATGGGTAGCTTACAGAAAAAACATTCTATGTAGTCCTTCATTTGTAGGTGACATGGATGATATTTAATCTGCATGTGGAAATGCCAAAGTCTCCATGCATGGACTTTTTTGCATGACTTCTTTTTTAATCTAATAAAATAATGAAGGTCAAAGATGGTGTTGTAAAATGACTAGAAAGTAATTATTTGTCTTCCCAATGCTTGTCTGGGAAATGCCACATCATTTTTTTTCTCTGCATGCACATGCTTAAGTGAAACTGGCTGTGGTTGTTTATTTTTAATCATATGGTTGGGACCTCATTGTTGTCCAAAATATTTTTCTTGTAAGGGGCCAAGGTATTTTCACAGACTACTAGAATCTGGTTTTAATATCTGTTGTTTGCCCATTAGACCAGTGACAGACAACTGAAAGCAGTTAATAACTGTAATTGTTTTCATTAGTAAAATTAGAAAATTAAAAAAAATCATGTTCAATATTGCTTTCCAACACTTTTATATTCTTCTCTTGTAGCTGGCAAGACATGGGTTAAATATAGTTATGATAAGTAGAACTCTTGAGAAGATGCAGAGAGTAGCCAATGAAATCGGTAAGTGTTTTGTACCACATTTGTTTGCCTTCCCATTTGGCAGCCTGGCTTGGTGGGAACCTGGGCCTGCTTTCCTTGTCGAGTGGAGATATTGCTGCAGATAGAGCCCAAGCTCTTAGTGCAAAACTACAGGCACTGTTTCACTGCATTGTTTGAACCCTTCTAGTCATAGATTGCTTTAAAAATACATGCTATGATTCAAACAGTTCAATAGTTTGGGACAAAGAAATATGACTCCAGGTTCTATTCTGACTTCACCTGAACTTAAGATCGCTAAATACAGGCAAGGAGATAGGACAATAGATTTATTTGAACAACCTATGAATGGGCTTTTGCTTGAGAAAGAAAGGTTACCTTGAGGCTAGTTCTTGGAATGCAGCAGAAGAGGAGTAAAAGTGAAATAATTGTAGCTGTTGTCCTCTTTTTTTCTCTTTTTAAGGTTTACAAACTACATTTGGCTTTCAGTAAGACAGTAAAGTAGTGTGCATTTAGAATTAAAGTTCATTTTCTTTTCTTCAAATGGAATCAGCCATTTGCCCTGGGGAATAGTTTATTTAAACACATTAGGATTGACAGTTAGGATTTCTATAGGAGACAAGTGCGTTTATATCCTCTGTTAACTTTACAGACATCTGTAATCGGGTTTATTTCTCCATATATTGCCTCTGTCCCTAAACTCCCCAGTGTGTGCTGCTGCTGTGCTGGCTGTGCTGTGCCAGGCTCTGAGCCCTTCCAAAGAGAAGGATGTGACACAGGCCTCAGACTAGACTGCACCCACAGGAGGTATCTTTTGTATCTTGGGGATGAAATCAACTACTGAGCTTCTGAATTTCCTGCCTAATTTACCACTCATTTCTAGATACAGACTTGCTTTCCTTTGAGAAGCAAGAAAGGGGAAACACCAGCCTAACTGTATCCCATGAGACCAGTGCGGCATACACTGGCTCCTACAAAGTAAAAAGCCATAAAAATATGGACTCCAGTGAAGATTATGCAAGCTCTGGTGATGCTGCATTTCTCTGTGGCTGAATATTAAATAATTAAAAAACCTAATTAAAAAGAAAAAAAAGTTTAACAGATTTTTATAGTTTCTATGCATTGTAAATGATAATGGGAAGCAAAGAATGAAAACAATGAGGTCCCTGAGACTAAGACAGCTAAGTGAAGAATGTGAGAGGTGTAAAAAGGTAGTGCCCTGCAGATTCCTCTTTATAGGATTTACATTGAGGCCGACCATGGGGCACCTTCCCCATGCATGTGCTGTGCTCTGCAGCACCCCCTCACCAAGGGCCTCCTGTCCTGGATGGTCCGCTGCAGCAGCCTGCCAACAGCAGATAGCATTGAGTTTTCCCCAGAGCATGCCTGAAATTGCTGGCAAAACCCAATGAGATCTTCCCATTGTGTTCAGTGGGTTTTGGTATTTCTCCAGAATGACTCATGTTATTTGTTGTGCTGAGTTGGAGAGGAATACATAACAGCAAGTAGATGGCACAAACAAAATGAATGGGAGGAGGACACAGCAACAGCAAGCATCTGATATGGAGGTCAAAAAAATCAACAAGGAGCTCTAGGTTAAAGTTTTCAAATAGCTCCTCTGATTTCAATATTCAGACTCAGGATTTTTTGTAATTAAGCTAAGTAATTACTGGGAAGGCGAGTTAAGCTTACTGTAATTTTGTGAGAGTAAATAAACAATGGAAATCCAAAATGAAGCAGAAGTCTAACCAGAATGATTTTATTGTTTTTTAATTTTTTTCTTTTTCTTTCTAAACTGTCTGAACAAGAAACATTTCACATTTATGCACTGTATCCTTTTCCAGTGAGTTGGACACAGTAACGAGAACACTTGACTTCCTTCTCAACTTGTTATTTACCTAATTGTACTGTCTGTGGTAAGATAGATGAAGAGAGGCTAAAATGTAGATAACTCCCTTAGTCTCAGTAGCTTGCTTTATTTCTGTGGATCACAGATGTGCTTGAGAGTAGCTCTCAGAAATAGAGCTTTCAGCAGGCCATTCCACAAACACAAAAAACACTTCCCTAAAGAAGAATCAAAACCAGATTTCAACCCAGCTGGACAGGATGGCTCTTTTAGAACATGAGATAAAACATAATAAAATAAGTTTTGTGTGAGGACACAGAGCTAATGGTTTCTCTAGATGAATTGCTTGTTTAACATATTTACTATTGTTGTAAAACATTCATTCTATGGAAGTTTCAATCCACAGTGATGCAAATGTAGGAATGAAATTGGCTGAAAAGGATGCAGAAAATGTGGCACCACAACTAGTCTATCTGTCTCCTCGTCCTACATGAAAAAATGACTGCTTGTTAAAATGTTGATCTTTTACACACACACACACACACACACACACACACACAAAACTCACCTCACTTTAAAACAATTCTGTGCTTATGTTGAGGATCTGGCACCACATTCATCTGCCTAATGCATGTTGACAATGTTCTTTCATAAGTATAATGATAACTGGGGAAGAGTTGCTGTATTGCTTATTTATTTATTTATTTATTTATTTATTTATTTATTTATTTTTCTTGCTAAAGGACTAAATGCTGTTTAGGTTTTGTCAGGGAATTTCCGTTAATTTCAGGGCATAAATTCATCCTATTTGCCAGTTATTTCCTTGAAAATAACTGTAACGAGTGAGGGTGTTTTCCTTGTGATTTAACTATTTTTAAAGCAAGAAAGTTGAAAAAATAATTATCATAGAATCATAGAATCACGAGGTTGGAAACGACCTGTAAGATCATCTAGTCCAACTGTTTTCCGATTACCACTCCTACCACAAGCTACTACACCACATCTTGCAGCTCCTCATCCAGATGCCTCTTGAACACTGCCAGTGACAGCAAATCCACCACCTCCCTGGGCAGACATTCCAGTGTTTGACCACTCTCTAAGAGAAAAAGTTTCTCCTTATGTTTAATCTAAACCTCCTCTGATACAACTTGCAGTTGTTTCCCCAGGTCCTGCTCATTGCCTGGGAGGAGAGGCCAAACCCCTCTTCATCACAACCTCCCTTCAGGAAGTAGTAGAGTGCAATGAGTTCTTCCTTGAGCCTCCTCTTCTCCAGAATAAATCTGTGCAGTGGACATTGTTAAGTGAGACATTTCACTGTTTTTTTAACTTCTGCATTACAGTTCTTCTCTTTATAGATGAAAAGGGCTTTTCTGTTTTTTATTCTTTATTACAGAGCAGGCCACAGCTCAAAAGGTGAAGGTTATACAAGCTGATTTCACTAAAAATTCAGTATACGAGAACATTGAAAAAGATCTGGAAGGCTTGGAAATAGGTGTTTTGGGTGAGTTGCTGATGTCTGTTATGTAAATGCTATTTTATGGCTGCAGTGTATTAAACACAGAATTTTACAAATTATGTGTGTTGTAACAACTTGTTAGCCAACAATTAAAGCCAAGCATACAACTGCCTAACGTATTTGAATATAAATTATCTTGATCAAGTTTTAAAAGTGAATTAAGATTCTTCAAGCATTTCCTTTTCTTTGTGCACTAGTTTCTTCTGCCGTGAACAATTTTCTGCCATTTAATGAGCAGTGGCCAGCCTGTGGGATTATTTTTTCCCTGTTTGGCATCAAGGAATTACAGCTGTGTGTGGTTCTTACGTTCAAATTGAAACAAGCCTGAGGCTAACACTAATTGGTGTGATCCACACAGGAACAATTGAAACTTTTTTTATTTGTTAAAAAAATTATCATTTTAATGGAGAAACAAACAAATTAAACAAGAACAAAACAAAACCGAACAATCAACCCGCCCTCCCCAGACTATACAGCAGACTGTTTTTCTCTTCCCTGAAGTCAGCATTGGTCGATACCAATGAATTCAGTGAGAACAAGACTCAAAGCTAAGCAGCATTTCTCTTCATATGCAGCTTAAAAACCAAGTCTTAAGGAGAAGGCATTTGCTTAATTAGCTGAACTAAGACTTTGTCTTGATGTGGTCCTTATAATTATGTTTCCTTTGATTAGTTAACAATGTTGGAATGCTTCATAATCCTCTTCCATGCCGTTTCCTTAATGCACCAGATGTAGACGAGGTAGGATTACTCTGTGATTTTCTACTTTCAACATAATAATTAGGAATTGTTATTCTCCTTAGCAAGCGGCAGATTCTCCCTCTACTACCATCAGTGCCTATTTCAGTGTAGAAGCATATTTTGATTTGTTTTTAATGTTTGGAAGAGCTTGCAATAGAAAAAAATAGTAGAGTTCAGCTCAACTGCAGCAGGCAGGTAACAATAGCTGAGATCAGCTATGCTGTCACATAACACCATGTGGCCAGCCCAGTCACAGCTGCAGCATTTATGTTAGTGTTATCAAAACTTTATTTTGTAGAGACACCATTGATTTAATGTGTAGGAAAATAAAAAAATAAACCTTGCTTAAACATGCTTTATTTTAGGGAGAAATTTACACACTCAGAATATTTTCACGGGATTAAGGACTTGATCACATTCTTCTTTGCCTTATTATTCAGCCTGTTTGTCACCATCTGTTACAAACTACAGATCCACAGCTGACTGCTTCCCACTGTGCTGCAGCCATGAGGTGGAACCTCTGCTGCTGCTATGGCTTGTGCCTGCAAGATGGCCTTGGGACAATACCTCTGCACAGAAGTTCTTATGCTGCACAGACATCATGTAGAGAAATACTGCTACCTCTGTTACTGGGAGACACTCCAGCTCAGCTTGGCACCTTTGTAAGCTGAGTGCAATTTGGCATGCATCTAGCTTGGTTTGCTGGTGCCAACAGTGCTGGGACACCAGGCTCTGTAGTGTCATCATGCACAAAGACACAGCTGGGCAAAATGAAGAGTGCTATAACAAAGAGATGTATGAGATTTGAGTTCAGTGTTTAGTGAAACATGAATCCAGGGCTCATTTGCCTTTAAGTATCTCACATCATAGACACAGTCAGTGAAAATCCAGGGCAACTCTGCTTTGCTAGCAAGTTTTTCAGTTGGAATTGCTAGGTTTGTAATGTAGAAAAGCTACATGCTTTTTGAAGTTAGCCATGAACTTACTGCTTTCTTGCTTATTGCAGAACCTTGTCAACTGTAACATTATTTCTGTTACAAAGGTATGTGTCATATGCATCAAATCTGAATTCATTGCACTGAATAAGAGCAGTCATTTAATCACATTAATTGCATGACTATTGTTAGTCATGCAATTAACTTTCCTGTACAAATTCATCCAGTTTATCCAAAGACATTCCTATTAGGCTGGAATGTCAGCATTATTTGAAGGACTTTGTTGGTTTCTAATATCTATGAAGTATTTTGAGTTGACTGGAAATGTTTTTGCACAATTGGTTGGTTGATACACATCGTTACACTGCATCTGAATCATTTCCCAAAAATAAGGTGGTGTCCCTAATCAGGAAGATTTGTTCGAAAATAAAAACCTGCAGGACAAGAAGATCCGCAGTCTTTTTGTACTGTGCTGTATATTCATTTTTTGAAACAATTCTGTTCTACAAAAACATTTTTCTATCAGTGTAAGAAAGGAACTTCAGGAATTGACTCCCAGATCACTGTTTTTCTTTGTGTCGAATTTGGTTGGTTACTTTACTTGCAAGAGCAGTTACTGTTCCATGCTTAAAGATTTGTGTTGCTCTGCAGTTAGCAAGTAGTATGTTAACATAACAAGAGCAGAACCAGAGCTTCAGAGTTCATCTTAACTTTGGCTAAGAAATTCTTAAATGTTACATGAAAATTGTGAACAGATATTCCACTTTGCGTAGCAAACTTTACCTCTCAAATTTGTAGTGCTGCTTAATGACTTCAAATAATAAATCACGTGAGATCAATAAATTGAAACAAATTCATTTATGAAGTGGTTTGGTGAACTTTCTGCTAAAAGGTTTTATTCCATTTATCACAGAATTATAGAGGTTTGAAAAGACCTCTGAAGACCACCTTGTCTAGAGTCCCTGCTAAAGTGGGTTCTCTATAGTACATTACACAGGACATGATTCGGGTGGGTTTTGAATATCTCCTAAATGAGAGACTCCACAATCTCACTGGGCATCTCGTTCCAGTGCACTGTCAAACTCAAAGTAAAGTTTACTTTTGGAGTTAACTAGATCAATCTATGCCCTTGACAGGGAGGCAGTAGACCCCTGGGCCCCTCCAGCTCCACAAAATAGGAAGGAAGAGGGAAAAGGGGTAGGGAAATGGGAGCTGGGCTCAAGGAAGGGAAAAAAATAGCAGCAATGATCTGTGGAGGAAAACTCTATTTTATCAACTATGATATCGGAATGCAAGGTAACATAATATTATACAATCTAATTGAAACTGAGACTAATAAATCAAATAAAATAGGAGAGAGAGACTGTTCTCAGGAATCAAACTTGCAAAGCTTGGTACTGCTAGGAAAGCACACTCCAATACCCCCTGCAAGGCAATAAGAGACCACCCCACCCAGAAGGGCCAGATCCCATCACTTTGGTGACGTACAGAGACAGGTACCCGGAATTGGAGCATTAACACTTTAACTCCCAGTGCACTACATGATGTTATGATGTGCAATATTGAAAGCCAAAAATCACAAAACCATGACACTCATGTTTGCATGTAAATTCTTATGTTCCAGTTTATGCCCATTGCCCTTGCCTTGTCTCTGAGCAGCACTGTAAAGAGCCTGGCCCCATCCAATTGAATCCTGCCCTTACATACTTACATTGATAAGATCTGCTCTCAGCCTTCTCCTCTCAGTCTTCTCTCAGTTTTCTCTTCTCCAGACTGAAGAATCACAGCTCTCCTAGCCTTTCCTCATAAGAGAGATTCTCTAGGCCCCTAATCAAGATGAGTGGTGCAGCTGGCACAATAGGAGGGAGGTATACCATCCATAGGGACCTGGACATGCCTGAAAAGCAGACATATCAGAACCTAATGAAGTTTAACAAGGCCAAGTGCTAGGTGCTGCACTTGGGCTAGGGTTATCCCAGATATGAGTACAAAGTGATAGAACTCATACAGAGCAGCCCTGCAGAGAAGAACCTGGGTGTCCTGATGAAAGAAAGGCTGGAGATGAGCCAGCAGTGTGCACTTGCAGCCTGGAAAGCCAACAGAATCCTGAGCTGCATCAAAAGAGGGGTAGCTAGCAGAGACAGGGAGGGAATTGTTCCCCTCTATTTTGCCCTTGTGACGCCCCATCCGAAGTAATGTGCCGAAATCTGTGGCTCCCCAGTACAGGAGGAATGTGGAGCTCTTGGAGTGGGTCCTGATGATATGATTGGAGGCTGGAGCACCTCTCCAACGAAGAAAGGATGAGGGACTTGGGCTTGTTTCTGTTGGAGAGGCTCTAGGGAGACCTCATTGTGGTCTTCCAGTACTTGAAGGGAGCTTACAAGCTAACTTTTTACATGGTCTGATAGTGATAGAACGAGAGGGAGTAGTTTTTTTAACTAAAAGAGGAGAGATTTAGGTTAGATGTTAGGCAGAAATTTGTTACTCAGAGAGAGGTGAGGCAGTGAAGCAAGTTTGCCAGTGAGGCTGTGGATGCCCCATCCATGCAGGTATTCACAGTCAGGCCAGATGGGATCCTGGGTAGCCTAAACAAGTAACTGGCAACCCTGCTAATGACAAGGGGGTTGGAACTAAATAATTCTTATGGTCCTCTCCAACCTAAGCCACGCTACGATTCTTTGATTCTTGTCTCCTCCTTCTTATCCTTTTTGAAGATTGAATAGACACTGGCTTACCTCCAGTCCTCAGGCACCTCTTCCATTCTCCTTTCAAAGAGGACAGAAAGCATTTTGGCAATCACTTCTGCCAGCTTTCTTAGTGCTTGTGGGTGTATCCAACTGATACATGGGTTTGTGTACATCAAGCTAGCTTAGGTGATCTCTGGGCTCAACCAAGTGGAATTCTTCCTTTCCTCAGACTGTCTCTCTTACCTGTAGAGTGTGAGATTCCTGAGAGGCAGTCTTAGTAGAAGAGACTGAAGCAAAGAAAGCATTCAGTAACTCTGCCTCCATTATCAAGGTGTCCATCTCATTCAGCAGTGGACCCACATTTTCCCTAATCTTTCTTTTGCTACTGATATACTTAAAGAAACTGTTCTTGATATCCTTGACCTTCTTTGCCAGATATAATTCCGAGTGGGCTTTAACCTTTCTTGTCACATCCCAGCCTGCTTTGACACCATTCTTACATTCCTCTCAAGTGGCCTGACCCTTTTCCCACTTTCTGTTGGCTTTTTTCTAAAATTAGAGTTTTTCCATGATCTCTTTGCTTATCCAAGGCTTGGGGATACCTTTCCCTCAATGTTACAACTCCTTCCTCTTCAATTTTTTCACAAAATTTCACTTTCCTTCAAAACTCAGAGAAGAAATCATGCTCCTAACTGCCATTCCTCATGCCTTGGTACAAATCATCTTTACATTTTTTCCCAGTCCTTGGCTTGACTGCTGGTAGAATCCTGCTCACTACCTTTTGCAGTGGGACACTTGTGCTCCAGGCATTCCTACAGATGTCAGTAGAGTTTTTACCACTGAGGAAAGGCAGGACCATTTCCAATGTTTTCCACTTTCCTTGAAAATTCTCCTTCACCCCAGCTGATATGACATCAGCATCCTTTCTGAAAATGAAGCTTGTGAATCTCACCTTGATCCTTCAATCTTGTAGTATACAATGACACTTCTGAAAAAAATAATAGAGAACCAATAGGGACTGAAATAAATAATTGAATTATTCACTTGCACTGACTTTTATTACAGCTCTTGACAAATTAGTTCCAACTTTTATCCTGCAAAGTTTCAGACTTACATATTTTTGTAATGAATCAATCAACTTCCTAGGGAGTTAAGCTTAATGGCAAAAATATTTTTGAAATGCAAAAAAGCAGCAGCTACTTTCTTACCTGAGATTGGATTTAATTGCACTTTAAAAATCAGAAGAATGATTCAGTCTCCTGTTAAAATTGAAATAGATCTTTAAATAATTAATATAAAAATGACCTAAAAATTCCTTTGTTTCCAGAAAATAAGTTTTCTTTTAATTAATTTTCTACTATTTCTGATTCAGGTGGAGCCAGAAGAAAAAAGTCTGAAAACATGATAGAGCTTACTTTCTCCTTGTGATTGAAAACTGAAGATTCATGAAATTCAGATACTGATGAAAAACTTTGGATAAGCATATGATTTTCATGGCTTAGAAGACTGATCTTAGATATTTTTTTAACAATTTAGCTAATTGGTAGGCCATTAGCATTTCTAAAATGTTTCTCAAATCTTTGAACGTGCCATATTTGAACTGGACATTTATCTGGGGCTTAAGCAAATGGGAAACCTTCTGAATAGAACAAGAAGAATAAAAAAAAGCAATTAGAAATAGGAAATTTGGTATATTTTTAATGTACTTATCTTACAGATGACACAACTAATTTTGAAACAGATGGAACCAAGGTAAAAATAATTTTTCCATAATTTTCAAATGGTTTTTGTTTCTACTACCACTTTCTTCAGTGAAAGGTATGCTTTTTCATTATTAACTTCTGCACTTGATGGAATGTCAGTCAGTAAGATTTACTTCTCTTGCTGTTAGTGCCATGTGAATGAATGATACAAACTGCCACAAGTTGTCAGTTAACTGTGGAATGGAAAAGATAATATAAAATATTGATCTGTTTATAGAAAAAGCATGTAGCTACTGCAGATATAAAGTTATACATGACAGCATACATTCAATTCTACTTCAATATATTTTTTATTTTTCCAGGATTGGTAGCCATCATTTTTTAAAGCTCTGGAAATACTTGTACTTCCTCTGGGAGATTAATTCAGCTGTGTACTCCCTTTTCTCCTTTTAATACTATGTGCACGTTAGACAGAGGGTGTTCTTAAGCTGTTGAGGTTTACAGATGCAGTTTCTAGAAAACATTAACTAGTACCTTTTGGAGGACAGTGCATGCTTTTTGTTTTGAAAACAAAATAAGCTCTTACTATTTAACTGTTTTGCTCTGTTTCGTTTTTCCTGGTTGTTGTAGAATGAATTGTTTTTGGTGATTTGTATAGGGAGTTGTGAATAGGGAAACTAAAACAACAGATGCATGGAACAGGAAAATGAATGTGCTGGCTAATGAGCAGAGGGGACCTACCAATTACTAAGGAGCATAAAATCTCTGATGGCAATTTTTCCTCTGTTAGATGTAAATAGCTTCTAAAATGTTCCCATGGTTCTACTTCGATAGGGCATTAAAGTTTCACTTATTCCATTTTTCCTAGCTGCATTAGACTTAATTGCACCTAACAAAACAATAAAAGTTGGGTCTTCAGAGAGTGTAGTCTACAGGATAATAGGAGAGCTCTGCCTTCTTGGGGAGAAACATTGCTTTCCACTTGTGAAGGTTTTTACCATAATGCTGTATATAACTATCTAAATTAAATTTTAGACAGAAAGGTCTGATTCTGAACCTATCCTCTGGTCTGGGAACTTTCCCTTGTCCCCTGTACACAATGTACTCAGCATCTAAGGTAAGTCTTTTATGTAGCTTTATAAATCTCCATCAAGTGTTTACCAAAATTTTATATCAGCAATACTGACCTGGGATTTCAGATGACATAAAACAGTGTTATTTCTCTGAAATAATGGAATGATGTGAATTAGTGATAGCTGAGAACTAAGAGTCAGCTATGCAAATGAAATCCCACTGAAGATATGTCTCATCACTGGAATATTTTTGTCTTTAATTAGTGTTATAGCAATGCCTTTTGTAGAATGATGAATTTTACTGGGCTTGCTTAGCTGTCTTACTTGAAACTGCAGTTGTACAGAAAGGTTAGATTTTTCTTATGAAGTCAGGAATAAAAATCCTAGTAGGTGGCTGGTGAATTTCCTCATTTCCTAGATTTCACTTTGAAATATTACTTTAAATTGAAACCCCAGAGCTTATCAAAATGAGGAGATATTGATTTTTACTGAAACTCCAAAAATGATCTGCCTTGATCAGATTTGCTTCAAATGGAAGATTCTATGAATCTTTGAAAAACTCAGGAGTTCTCTGGTTAATATGGTTTTTATATCTCTTATTAATAAAGTTGTTAAACTAACTATGTTCAGTGCTGCTAAGCTTCTGAATATTTCTAAAATCATTCATTATATTAAAAAGCCAGCTTTTACACAAAATACATTCATGTACATGCAATCTTCATGGTGTGAAGAAAAGCTTAGAAAGATAAACCCTAAGGGTTGATGCCTAAAAACAAACAAGCAAATAAATAAATCTCCAGCAAATATATATATATATATAAAATCACATTTGTACGCTATGGTCATAGACATATATTACAGGCTTGAGTTGTGTTTCACTGATCTTTTCATTTCAAGAAAGAGCAATATAAATCTTGGACTGGGAAGGTAGATGTCATTCAGAGATGGCAACAACATGCAACAAGAACTAAGATGAATGGGACTCTAATATTTTTATTTCTTGCATTTTCATAAATATGATAAATTTTTGATAAAGGTCTGCAGTTACACCTGTTTCATATCTAGCTTGAGCCAGTGCAAGACGTCTTCTCTGATCTTGCTGTTACTAGTGGAGGAGAGCAAAAAATGTGTCTTCGAACACTTTTTCACCACTAACTGTGCCTCAGGTTGTCTAAGATGTTCAGGCATAAATTTTTGAGTATTTGTGAAAATACATAATTTCCTGCATTAACATTATTTCATTTTATTTTATTCTAGGCCTTTATATGCACTTTCTCCAAAGCACTACAAGCAGAGTACAAAGAAAAGGGAATTATCATACAGGTGATACTATATCTTACCTTTACTTATTCCATATCATGCCTTAATCCACTGCAGATATGTTTTACAGTTTCTCAGATGCCATGAGATTCTGCAGAGTGAATGGTCTTACGTAGATGTCTGATAACATTAAACTCTTACTACATGCCTTATTTTAGGTAGTGGCTCCTTATGGCGTCTCTACTCCAATGACAATGCACCAAAAACCTGGTCTTATTACAAAGACTGCGGAAGAGTTTGTTAGTGAATCACTGCATTACGTCACTTTCGGAGATGAGATTTTTGGATGTTTAGCCCATGAATTACTGGTAATTGCATATGATAATTTGTAAACAGATTCTAAAAGTTGAATCAAGTCTGCCTGGGCTCATGGGGTTTTTTGGTTCATTTTCGAAATCTTAAAGTTACGTTTCAAAAGACAAACTGTGAATAGGTTAATGTTAATATGGCACCAGTAAACTCTGAAGGGAAGAAGATACACGCAGAGTGCAGTGCTGTAAGCAAAGTGCAATATTTTCAACTTCTATGTTTTGAGCTGAGGTCAGTTTGATGTCTTCATCTCTTCTCCAGCTGCCAGTTTCCTACCAAGAATATATCCAAGACTCTACTCCTTTAAAGAAACCAATCAGTAGATTAAAAATTTATTAGTGAAGAAAGGAAAGTACATAAAAACAGACTGTACTGTCACATAAATATAAATTCCTCAAGATATCAAACTAATACATACATATATATATACATATATATGGCAGCTGTTAATGGTGATCATCAAACAAAAGTATAAGGATGAGAACAGAGAAAGAAAGAGCATTTTCTGCTGAGGGAAACATTTGTACTAAACATATGTAGTAAAATCTTATGTATTTATTATTTTCTACAATCTTTCTGATCGCGTGATTAATTTCTTTCAAAAGGTTTTTGTAACCTTCTGATTTTGCATTGTTTTTTCTTGATTATTCTAAAGGCATGCGTTCTGCAGCTTGTTCCTTTATGGGTACTCCACAGTGACAGGCTTCAAGAAGCAGCCCTGCAGGCATTTACCAGTTATCTTAAGAAGAGGTGGAGGACATCCTAAATCTTTTTTTGTTTTTTATTTAAATGATAACATGCAATGGGAAACTCCAACAGGAAGCATTTAACCATGGCTCCGTGTACGTAGAAAAAAATCAAATCAGATGGAAACACACCTGCATGCAAATCACGCATCAAAAGATAATTGAAATTCTTACTGTCATTCACTGAAATTCATTACTGTCCCTTTCCAGTGACTTCTGTGCTTTGGATAGGTTCTATTAAGAGTTTCTGCTACTGTTACTATTTTAACTTGAGCTTGGAGGCCACAGACATTTATGCTTTTTTGATCTTCACAAATAAAACAATAATTTGCTTTGTTCCCTAACTTGTTTACAGTTTTTTAAATTTTTTTACAATGTGTGTTTTTTCTACCTGGTTTCTTCTGTAAAGTCAAGGAAGTCTGCAGGAAGGAAAAAAAAAAAAAAAAGGAAGCTTTCAGTATGGGAAGTAAGTGCTGGAACTTTGGAGATCTGCAGCCATAAAATATCTACTTCTATACTGAGATTATCAATGACCTCTGCATTGTCTGAGAAGGGCTGGAAGAGGCAGGATCATAGGCAAAAGATAGACTTAATGTAAAACAATTCTTTGAATCAAACTGCAACTGACTGAAAGCAGAAAATATCTAGAAATGAAAGTGAGATGTCTGTGTAGGGCATTCAGCATTGTTGATTTGAATAGCAAGGAATAGAAATGGTCTGTTCATTGCTGCATAAAAAATGTGTTTACCAGTGATTAAATTATGTTCTGGTAAGTGTGATATTTGTGCAGCTCTTCAACAAATAAATATGGACTATATATGACAAATACTACATATGAGCCAAAAAATGAATTTCCTGAGAGAAATGCTCATTCAATAAGAGGCTTGAATAGAGTGCAGAGGTTGTGTTTGCCATTGGTAGAAATGCCCATGCATCATAGATTTCAAACACTGTATTCTCTGTTACAGCATGAAATGCAGCACGTCTCTCCTTTTCTTGCCTATCTGTTCCAAATACATACTGATGTTGTGCCTATGTACAGCTCTTCACATGTCTGATTTACATGCATGAATAGTCCCAGCAAGATGAATGGGGACAGCAACATGCCTGAGCTACCTAACTCAAGTTAAAGAACGTTCTTTCAACCTCCTCACAGAGACAGAAGATCTGTATTATTGCCACTGGAAACAAATATCAGTGTATCTAATAAACAGGAATTATCATAATACAGGAATAGCATTGGCACAACCAGAGCTTAATAAATGCTGGAGACTCCTTCCAAAGCTTAAAAGTCCTGTGATCTATAATTAGGAGCATTTCCATATTTCTTGGGTTTTTTTCAGATTTTTTTATGACTGTGAATGGTGTGTGTTTATTGCAGACTGTTGCTGAAGCTGAATGATTTCTGGTGGATCTTGTCACTTGCTGCTCTATCTTGGCCACTGTGTTGGAGAAGACACACTTTGAACTTCTGGCTGGTTATCTTGTATAATGTGAGGCTAGGATCTCCCTGACTTGCACTCTCCAGGCAGCTTTTCCTCATGTTGTATTAGCATAAGGCTGCTGTGGGAGGTTTCTCCTCTCTGGCCAGCCCACCGAAGAAGGGGTGTTCAGCCACTAGTGCCTGAGCCTGAAGAAGAAGAAATTGTGCCCTCCTCTGCATCTTGCATGCCATGTCCTCCTCTGAGTTCCAGTCAAACACCACCAAAGATCTGTCAGCTGCTCTTGCTTTCAAATGGCCTTGGTTGAGAGGGAAATAGAAATGGGAATAAAAAGACAGAGCTGTTCCTACTGGGAGAAGAGGAATGAGAAGACAAGCACCTCAGGATTTCTGCTTCCTCCCTAGCATCTATGTTATGTTACAGTGAGTGATAAAGTATGATACAAATAATACTGCCTGCAGCTCCTGTGCTATTAATTGGTCCAGTGGTTTTCTGAGAATCTTGTAAGAGAGCTCAGCATTGCTTCTGTTTTATAGAGCAGGAAGGAGAGGTGCAGGGAGGCAAAATGCCCACCTCAGGATTTAGTCAGGGGTAGGAGTGTCCTGAGAAGCAGCAGGGTCCCAGAAAGGGGCAGTGCCTTCAGTCTCTGCGATATGAGCAATGGAATACCTCAGTGTTCCACAGCTACCTAGTCCCCATGCCTCCTTCAGCCTCAGTGCAGGCAGCCTGGTGCATCTACTCCTGGCTCAAGTGCCTAGTTTTTTGCCCAGCCTGAGCTTGCAATGGAAAAATGCCTAAAAGCAGCCTGCAGCCCCAATTGCTGGGGACACATTCTGAGGGACAGGCTACTACCAACCCTGGCCATCCTCAGCCCTGAAGTCCTGGTGGTGACAGGTCCTTGGCCATGGCTGCAGAATGGGCGAGGATTGCTGCCTGGTGAGTGTCCGAACCATCCAATCAAGTGCTATGGGGTAAAAGTGTTGTGTGAAATGTTAGCACAGCCTGGCAGACCCCTCAGGACTGTTTCCAAAAAGGGCTTCCCTGCTCATGCCCCAAATAAGCCAAAATGCCAGTTTGCAGAAAATCAGGTATTTTTGAACTTTCTTTTATTATTATAGGGTGAGGAGTCACAAAGAGCTTTGAATATGTAGGCCAGGTTAGATTTTACTGTTGCTTAATTCTGCCATTTTTTTTTCTTTTCAAAGTTTGTTGAGTACAGAGGTTATCAGTTAAAGCAATTTAGAATCATGGGATGCAAACAGCACTTGACTCACAGATATTTCTGCTGTTGAACTAAACCATGCTCAGGAAAAGGAGACAATCTCTCAGCAAAACAACTTTCAGTTGGTCAGTCTACAAGGCTTCTAGATTAAGGAAAATGGGAACTATTTAGTACAGGATTGACTTAAACAATACAATGTACTTCATCAATGGATTACATCAGTAACTTAGTAAATTTTGCAAAGGTTTGAGCTGCAAATCTGTCTAGACAAGCAATTTACAGCAGAGGAAATAAACCCCTAAACCACTGAATACTAATGTTGTAAACAGTCTGCTATCAAGGCTGGAAATGCAGACAGGGCCCTACTGTTCTGGAGGACCACCCACAATGAGAAAGAATTTGATATGGCAGCTAGCCTGAAAAACTTATTTGTGATATACTGGTATATGGTAACAGCATGAAGGAGATGTCAGAGTGAGGAAAGCTTTGCCAAGGGAGCAGATGATGGTATTGGATTTGACAGTGACTGCAGCATGCAATTTGAAAAATGTCAGTCCTCCTAAAACACCGCAGAAACACAGAGAAGCTGGAAATGGCCTCCATGTGGTTTCCACTGTGTCTTCTTTTCTTCTCCTTGTAATGGCACTTACAAGAATAACCAGTGAATCATAACCTGTGTGCAAAGGGCTGGTCCTTCCATCCTCCCTTCCTCCCTTCCTCCCTTCCTCCCTTCCTCCCTCCCTGCCTTCCTCCCTTCCTTCCTCCATTCCTTCTTCTTTCCTCACCTCTCTCCTTCCTTCCTTCCTTCCTGCCCTCCTTTCTTCCTTTTTTCCCCAAAAAGAAATCTGAATGAAAAATAACTGACTAGCATTACTGGCTACTTGAGCAGCAATTACATTCCTCTCTCCCATTCTTTTCCCTTTGTCATTCTGCAGACTTCAGGGCTGAATAGTGCAGAGCATAATGGAGAGCAAGGTAAAACACAGCATCACACGCCAGGCTCCTGACTTGATTGCTTTGCTAGTACAAATGGAGAGTGAAATCCACTGGAGGTAGACCTGGTACAGACTGTAAGTCCTTGAAGCACCAAGACAACTGAAATTATTACTTCCCTGTGAACGTAACAAAAATATGTTGAGCTCTCCCAGGAACATTTTAAAGATGCTAAGAATAGCAGAATTCTGTGAAGAGGAATAATGATGCTTGCTACTGTTTGACTTAATAAACACAGGCCTATTTCAGCACAGACAACTGATAAACGATTTTATCATATAAGCAACTACCAGCAAGAAATAATGCTAACAGCATTTTTGTGCAAAAATGCTTGGCCAAGTAGAGGAAGAAGCCAAGCTTAGTATTACTTTGACACGGACAGAAGTGTACTTAGAGATGGGAGAAGAAGAAAGAGCAAATGACTCCCGTACCTGGAACAACAAGGCTGAAGTGGTCAGAGGGCTGATACTCACATAGACTCTGTTTGTGGTGAGGTGATCATTAAAGCAATATGTCCCTCCATGGAGACAAGACATTCACCCTGCATCAGGAATACAAAGGTATGAAGACCCTTCCATGGAAGACTTGCTAGCACAAGTGCAGGGAAAACTCATTAATATTACTGCTATTTAGTGACTTGGAATACGGTGCACTGCAAATGCTGGAAAATATAATTCTTGACCTAAGAAACATACTGTTTAAAGTAACTGCTTGGGGAAAAAAAGAGAAGGAGAAAGAGAAGGAGAAAGAGATGCAGTAAGTAACAGTATTGTAACTGCATTTCAGATGAAGACATAGTGTGGAAATCCAGTTTGCTTAGTTAGGTGATAACAGAATGGGTTACTTGAAGTAGCACAAATTTGTTGCAATAAAAGATTGATAGTATTAATAAGACCAATTGATACCTCTTTTTAAACATCAAACTGCTGTTATTGAAGCTAAGAGAACAAACTCTTAAATGTCAGTGTACGACAGGAACACTGACATGTTTTCTGGGAACAAGGGGTACATTGTTCTCATTTCTGAGGCCACTGCTTGGCCTGGGACGGACCCGGGCTTGCCAGGAATGTGCTCTACGGGACCAGGAAGGGCGAGGGAGGCGAGTCCCGTCAGCTTGAAGCCTTTCTTCTGAGTCAAGGCAAGCGCCCGGCCTCACCGCTAGCGGGAGGACGCAGCCACCTCACTATAGCTTCTGCACGGAAAATACAGCCAGCCGTGTCACAAATCGACAGAAACTGTATTTATTCAGAAGCACACCAAACCCGAGACTTAGTCACTCGAAAAAGTAGGTCTGTATCTTTTATGTGCGCTACTGCCTAAATAAATGGGATTAAAATTCAGGGGGAGTCCTGCAGCTGTCTGA